CACCAAGGGAAATGAGTAAGGACCCAAATTACTTCAGGATAAAAGCCTGATGCAGATCCTGTATCTAGTACAATGTCAATGCTGTATTATATCGGGCAGATGGAACATCTATATTTCTGTGTGTGAGAGAAAGGAAGGAGGCATGTTTTCTAAACAAATCACTTTCCTATCTCTGTTACATCTCACAACTTGGGAGAGAGGTCTGCAACCTCCTAGGCGATGTGGAAGGTGCTTTTTAAGTATCATTGTCAGACTTCAGGGGGCAGCTGCCTTAGCTGGCTTTTCTGGGTCATTTCCTTCTCACAATTTCTGCAGCTCCTTTGTGGTGTAAAACTGACTCTGACATTCATAGACACAGCCATGGAGTGCTTTTCTGGAATGCTCCCCTGTGGCAAAATCTCCCTTTCAAATAGCTTATTAAATATATATTAAAATCACAAGAGCACAGCAAAAAGCAATCAGCATTCACTCTAACTTCTGGCCACCCCAATAAGCAGGTAGTTAAAAACAAATCTCTTACCAACCAAGACCTCAAAAGATAGTGGCTGAAATTTCACTAGTTACTGAAGACTAGGGTCTTACTAAATTGAGCTGCTCTTGGAGGGTATAAAATTCAAAATGTAGCATAAGAACGGTTGGACTATTCAAGGAAAAGGATAGGCCTGTCCAAAAATGTCCAGGTAGGCTTTTCCAAGAGGCCCAGAGCAGATTTTTCTAATCCATGTCACCTTGGAGACACGTGGAGACCCTTTGGAGCACAAGAGAAATATTTTCTATGTCATTTTTGGAGTCAGTGGGTTTGGAGTGCAGAGTCCTTGGGTTCACCCTGGGAAAGGTGTCATCAGAGCTCCCCTTTCGACGGCACATGGGGAGTTTCCAGGGCAAGTTTCTCCACGAGACAGAGAGGACAGTTAGGTTTGCAAGAGCAGATTTATTACAAAAGGGACAGGAGAGTAAACGCCACTTGCATAGACACCAACAGGCAGAAAGAGCTGCCCCAAAGGGGCAGGTTTGCTGACAGAGGCCTGCGTGGTCACCTGTGGGTGGCCTTGAAAAAAGCTGCCTCTGCTGGGGAAGGTCAGTGCAGAGAAGCCCCCGGCAGGGGACAGGTCACGGCAGGCAGGAGGCCGCTGCCCCATAGAGGACAGAGTTGGCAAAAAGGAGCAACTGCATAGTCACAGGTGGGCAGAAAGAGCTGCTGCTGCATTGTCGGGGCAGCATTAGGTTTTATCATCTTCTGGGAGGGGCTCATCTTTGTGGGTAGATGGTTTGTGCTCCTGACACTCCCTATGTAACAGGGTGGTCCCCAGGAAAGGGGGAGTTTCCAGGTTTCCTGCCCCACCCAAGGGAGGGGAAAGCTGAGCAGGGGAAAAGAAGCTGCAGAGGAGACTGAGGAAGGAAGGAAGCAGGATGGAGCCAGAAGGAGACCTGGAGGAGGCACGTGGAGCCTCGAGACACATGAAGAGACTGCGCTTGCCTTTTGGTCGTGGACTGGGTGACACAGATGTGGGGGAGACCCGTGCGGAGGTCACAGTGGCAGTTTTTGTCTTGATTTTGATTTTGCTCTTTTCCCTCCAGACTGGTCTGGTTGTTTCTGATCCTTTTCTGTGGGTCCCCACTGGAAGGTGCTTTAGACTGTGGCAGGCTTTGGGGCCTTGCTCTGGGCCAATCCTGCCTGGGTGGACTTTTACCCACGAGGGGACGGGGAACTTTTGGGTGCTTGATTTAGAAACTAGATTCTTTGCCTTTCCTGTGTTGTTTCCCAATTGTATTAAAATTCCTTCCCATTAAAGTCTCACATGTTTTGTGCTGATGCGGTGGATGGCAGAACCTATTTAGAGCAGGCAGGTTTGGGTCTGGGGTGCCCCTCTCCCTGCCCTGGAACACTGATACCCTGTTGCCCTTATCTCTGGATCTTTCCTTAACTCTCCTGAAGTCCCTGCCTGCACTGTCCCTTAAGCTGCCTAATTATCCCTAGCTTGCCCTTGGATTCATGTCGGCCCGTCCCGCAGGCCGACAGGGTTCAGGAACACGGCGGAGGGGCTGGGGATGAAAAACGCTTCTACTCACATGGATGGCTGCAGGAACTCACGCACTTTATTACTGAGGGGGCAGGGATAGATATATGAAAGTCTGTGCATGTGCTTTTCTTGGCTTGCGCATGCACTTTCCTCTGCGCATGCGCTTTATGAGGCTTGCGCATGTGCTTTGGTCTGCGCATGCGCTTTGGTTATTGCCAGCTCCCCGTTTTCACTTTCTGCGCATGCGCTTTCCATGGACCTTGCACCTTTCTGTTAAGATTGCATTAGATTTGTAGTTCTTTCCGTTGGCGGAAGCGAACATTACCTCAGGTCCCTCTGTCAGCCAGAAAGCAGCATTGCCAAGGCGGTATTGCCAAAGTTAAGTTTTGCGTCTGTTATTGACAGCTCCCCCGTTTTTACTTTAAGGTGGAGGGAGGGACACACAAGGGCCTGTCTTAGGTTGTGGCAGGTATGCGCCCTTGCTTACCTGTCATGGCTGTCCGTTACCTGGATTCGGATAAGGTGACGGTGCTGTCTTAGGTTGCTATGGGGCACACCACCATCTTACCCGTCATTGGCCTACAAGTGGTCTAGCACAATGTTTATCCAGACATTGGGTTCTGAGAAGGTTGTAATGGGGAATAGCACACATGTTTAAGTGCTACTCGTAAGTTGTTTTTTGCGTCTGTTCCATTGCACACAAGATGACAAAATGACCCCTAGACAGAGGAAAATTAGACTGAGGAGTGAGGACCGCTCCACCTAAGGATTTGACCAATCCCCAAGCTTTGGAGAATCAGGAGAGGGCTGATCGGGATTAATAGTGAGGATCTGATTAGCCAATTGGACAGTAAATTTAAGAAAGGTTGGTTCCATGGGCCGCGCAGGTAGTCATTAAGGGAATGAACTTGGGAGGAGTAGTTGGATACAACAGCAGGGGTAACGCAGGTGAAGGCATAGGTAGGCATACAGGGGATATGAGCAGTTAAAGTCAGTAAGTCGATTTCTTCCTGTATTAAGGAAACTTCTTGATTCAACTGGAGTAGTCCTACTGCGAGATGGTTGTTGATGGAATTTTGTGTGAGAAAGGCGCTGGAGACTCTTTGAGAGAGAAGGTTGATGGTATCTGCGTTGAGTACGGAGTTGGATAGAGCTAGGCCGCCGACCACCGCGGACACAGCTGCCAGCGTCGAGAAGATGGAGATCAAGGCGCCAACAACCAATGCTGCTTGTCGATTTTGGATGATTACCTGAGAAGTAGACTCAGACACATTGACAGGCATAATAACGACCTTAGGGAAACGCACAACAATGAAGGAACTGCTGAGGGTTTTAGACCAACAAGAGGAACGGTGACAGCTACAATTGAGGGAGGATTGATTGTTGAATGGCAGATTGTAAGACACTATAGAAAGGAGTCCAGTGGTGGAATTGGTAGACAAGAATGACGGGAGAATACCCCCCTTTCTAGAACCAAGAGGGATCCATTTACTAGACCCAGATGTCGTTGCTCGGTTCAAGCAAAGGTATCCAGATGGTATTATCTCTAAACCTAAGAATTTCTGAAGCACTTCCGTAGAGTTAAGTAATTCAAGGCCATGGCTCTACAGGCTGTACCTGAAGAGTAATATTGTACAGTAGTCTTTTTTTTTTTTATTTAAATAAAAGTTTGTATTGTGGTTGGGATTTTGAGGTTAAATTTTGGCTCTGTTACTTAACAGTGGTGTTTTTGTGTAGATTATCTCAGTCAGACTCATACATAAAATGGGATTATTACCTACCTTATGGGTTATTGGGAGGGTTCAAACTAAACGAATGTATGGAACACATTAAAACGTGGATTATACATTACAGGATTAGAGTGACTAGTAATCAGTACTATGTGAACATGGTGGTTAATACGGAAGTTCTCTGGAATAGCATTTTTTAAGGTGTCAGGTTTGGTTGAATTTTACTTAAAGTATCACTGGGGACTATCACCCTCTAAATATTTTCTTTTTATGTTAAGATTTTGGCTCTGCTACTTTATTTTTTAACTTACATTTAGAAAAGAAAATAAATGAGCACACTGGGATGAAATAAGTAGCAGAGGTATGCAGAGAACTAATCTATATGACGGCTAGGTGAAACACTTTTTGCCTATTTTTTAAGATACTTTATCAAATACAAGTGAACAGACTTTTTTAGATTATGGTGAAACTTATTATACTAATTTAAGTATGTAGATAGCCTTTTACAGCTATGATAATATAGATAGAGGGATATTAACTACAGAAATAATATGTAAAGAGAAGCTCCTAGGTGCTTTCCTCGAGGGATGTTTGAGAAAGGCTTGAGGAGGTGAATTTTGAAAGAGCAGATGTGAGGGACTGCACAAGCCCCCGGAAGTAGAGTGGGAAGGGAGGGATACCGCCGATTTTGGTTGATGGGGGTGGTCTATCATAGGGAGGTGGATAGTCTGTATTGTCCTCCACATGCCCCTCTTCTGAAGAGGAATTTCCCCCTGGATTTGAGGATTGAGAAGGGGGGGTTCCGTGGCTGAGCTTGCCGAGGTCGAGCATGTGGCGGGCGTAGTTTCGCTTTCGGATTGAGCCGCAGAGCGCAATGCCTCAGCCAATAGTTCACAAGCAGCTGCTCCCCCATCACTAAGGGCATCATAGACTAGTTGCCACACAGAAAGAATACGGGGGGGAACAGTTTGGGGTCCGTAAAGGTCCCTGTGAAGAAGGAAGTCTACTTTGACCTTTTCCCAGTTTTGTCCTGAGACGGTGTCCTGCTGAAAGAACCATTTGCTGGTATTTGCGAGGACTGAGACTAGATTATGAAGGGTCTGAACCTTAATGGGAGTTCCATCATGTTTAAGCAGAAGTTGCAGGGCTCTAACAAGTTGGCCCTTGGACATGGTATTGCCCATGATGCCGATCACTTACCTAATCCTTACCTTACTGATGGATCGGTCCCTCAGAGGATCCCTCGTACTCGTGTCCCGACGTTGGGCGCCACTTGTCGGCTGGTCCCGCAGGCCGACAGGGTTCAGGAACACGGCGGAGGGGCTGGGGATGAAAAACGCTTCTACTCACATGGATGGCTGCAGGAACTCACGCTTTATTAGCGAGGGGGCAGGGATATATATATATATATATATATATATATGAAAGTCTGCGCTTGCGCTTTTTTGGTTTGCGCATGTGCTTCGGTCTGCGCATGCGCTTTGGTTATTGACAGATTCATTACCTATTTCAGGCAGGGCAGCCAGCCTGAGGCAAGCTTTTGTCCTGTGAAGTCAGGAGTGCCCCCTCCTCTCTCCTTGACACCCCAAGTCCCTGTCCGGTTCCTTAGCTCAGCATGGAAACCCCCTAGTCTCTCTCATTTACCCTGGAATTTATAGCCATGTAAATTCTCCATATGTACTTGGTTAAATTTGGTCCTTTACTCCTACTGGTGTTAAATTAAATTAATCTGATGTTAATTTATTTGTTTGACCAGCCCCAAAAGAACCCAGAGTGGGGTGATTTCCCCCCTGTATTCCTACAGAAGCATGTTTCTTTTAAGAAACCTTTTCTGGAACTTCAATTCCAGCAATTTCTCAAATCCTAGTTGAGGATATGGGCATTAAGGGAGAGAAAGGAGAAAGAGCCTGAGAAATAGCTCTCAGCTGTTGGAAAGTCTCTTAATGGGTCCCAGCAAAATTCCCTTCCTGGAGATCTCGACTGGCCTAGGAGGGGGTAGGGGAGTCCTTCAGGCTAAGATTGTTTCAAGTTCCTCAAGAAAATGCCACTGTGTGCTTCTAATTACTGACTCATTCACTCGCGTGTCCTCAAATCCTGTCACTCACTGTGGTGCTGGATGATTCTAAAACTGCATCGCGTATTAAATAGAGTAAGATGGCTTTGTAATTTGAGGCTACTTGGGAAGACGTATGCACTTTATAACCTTGGTTACTCATTTTATTCTATTAGAAGCCAGATACACAGGTGTTTATGTTTGCATTTTGAGCACCGCTCTGCATTTTCCGGATTTCCAAAATGGGGTTATCGCAAAGGCCTATTCTTCATGGTTTATATTTTAATTGCTCGGGTAGAGATGGCTTAGCATTTTAGTAGTTCAAGGCCGGTGGCCCACATTTACAGAAACCAGTTTTAATGATGTTGGAGGAAAGCAACACCGAGCATCACAAGTAGGATTTTACTGCTACACTTGTCAAGCCGTGAATGGGAGGCAGGTTGTGTGAGGCTGGTGCCTAAACCAATTCGAGAAGGCTCCATGCAGACAAAGTAAAACTTCTCCTCCGCGTGAGTGTGAATTTGAAAACAAGGGCTCATTAGGCTATTTCAGGTGGTTTTCTGCTTCCGTCTTGTACCTCCATTCCCCTCACCGGGCCTCCTCCATCTCTGCAAGTTCAGATGTGTTTCCAAGAAGAAAACGGGGTGACTATAGGACGTGCTAAGAGGCATGGTGTCCCTGCCGGCCTGAGGGGCCTTTATTACTTGTTGTCTTCGAAGAGCACATGTCCATCCTTCCCCTGGGAGCCATTCTGGCCGCTGAGTTTCTGCTCCAATCCAAGGCAGGGAGCTCAGTTAGTTGCTTCCCTGAGTTGCACGGTTTCCTTAAGGTGTACTTCTAATTTATTTATTTCATCAATTAATTAATTAATTAATTAGTTTATTTATTTATGCATGTATGCAAGAACTGTGGTACAGGTGCGGGGGGCAGGTAGGGGCCGGTGAGGATTCACCAGACAAGGAGTGGGAGCAGAACAGGCAGATACACTGCTAAAAGGAGCAGCAGGCTACCTGGGCAGGGATCGAACTCCTGCTGCAGTGGCTGGAGACGGCTTCATAGTGCTGAGACTTAACCCCTTATGTCACCAGGGAGGTCCCCTAAGGTGTACTACTTGTTTTGCTCTAGGAACCACTTGGTGCCTCACCCCTTCACCTGAAAACCAGCTCTCCAGTTCATTGCCACCTCCCAGAAGCTGTGGGAATTCCTTGTTGCTACTTTTAAGACTTTTTGAGCCTTATGTGCACTGTTAAGCTGTCTCATTCTTGAGGTTAAAACCCCTTTTGCTCTCTTCTTTGACATGAACCACTGCCCACCTTCCAGAGGGAGAGGACGTACCTCAATTGCCAGCTCCGCAGTCTGTCTGCCTGGTCATCCCATCTGCCCACGGCATTTCAGAGGGTAAAACTGCCCTCTAAGTGTAACCTCCATGCAAGCAAACCGCCAACAGTGGTTTGGTAACAGCCTGTGAACTTGGCTAATGGAGTTACTCAGAGGCACACTTAACAGAGTCAGAAAAGTTAACTTTTTTTTTTAAAGATTTATTTATGCATACAAGAGCTGGGGTACAGGCCAGAGATGCGGGGTCTCACTCATCAGAGACAGAGTGGGGAACAGAACAGGTAGACTGACTGAAACACACTGTTGAGGGGAGCAGCGGGCGAGTCAAGAGAGGTCTGCCGCACCATGTGGGTTGCTTCCTGGCTGGCAGGGGTTCGAACTCCTGCTGGAGAGGCTGCAGATTGCTTCATAGTGCAGTGCTTAACCCCTTGTGCCACGAGGGAGGCCCCAGAAAAGTTAACATTTTTAAAGATTGCTTTTTATAGTAAAAATATTTTATAAAAGGAGACTGCATAATAGTCTTAGAGAACATGACTATGGACATAATTTTGTTAAGATCTAACATCTATTTCTAATTTAATTTTCTTAGTAAATCAGGGACAAAATAATTTTTCTGAATCATGATAAGGAAAGTATATCTGGGGATCCAGACAAACTTAATGGAGAAACATAAGAGGCTTTCCCTCTAAATTTTGGGGTTATAACATCTGTTCACTTGTCAATGAATAGGGACCTCAAGTTTCTTGAGACTATAACGTAAATCATCATTAAAAACAACAACAGGATACAAATTGTTAATTTGTTAATGTTTTACCTATTTTTATTTGCAATAAAATAGAAGCAGGTTAAGTTAAGTAATTGCAAGCTAAATTCACAAAAGACAATAATTGTCCTATTTTGTATGAGCAGGTAGAGAAAGGTTATGACACCAGAAAGTCTCACTCATAATTGCAACAACAAAGATTAAATGTTTAGGAGTGAACATGACAAAAAATGCGTAAGGACTAAGAAGAAAAATGAAAGCTTTTTTGAGAGAGATGAAAGAAGATTTAAATACAGGCAGAGTAATAACCTTTACCTTTAACATGAAATGACAATTCCTTTGAAACTTGATGAATGTTTTTATCTATAAAAACAAATGTATCACAATAGCAGAAAAAGAATTGCAGAGGAATCAACCACATATTAATATACATGATAAAATTGTATTAATAAATGTTTTCTGGCACTAGAAATATCATTGACACTGTGTAGAAAATCCAATGCTAGAGTCAAATACATATAAAAAATTGTGTGTTAAGAAAATAATTAATATTTGATATTTGATGGAACAACTGGAAATTTATTTAGCAAAATAGGGGGGATATCACCCCATAACTTAAAGCAACAGAAATACAGAATCTTATGATGATGTAAACCAGACACATCCTATAAATACAAAAGAAAACAATGAAGGAAGATGTCACTCTTAATACATTAAAGCATGTCATTGTTAGTGAACCAATAAATCAAAGTGAAAAAGGATCAACCGAATGAGAAAATAGAACACTCTGCAAGTGTGGTACCAGCATATTTAAAATATACAGATATTTATGTATCGCTAAGGAAAGACTCAACATATTGCCTACAAAAAGCAACCTATATATGTAAAATATGCACAAAACAAAATGTTCACAGGTGGTAAATATATATATACATATACATGTGTGTGTAAGTATAGATGTGTGTACTTATTACACAGTCAATCCCATTTGTAATTAAAGAAACAAATTAAAATACAGATCTCCTTAGACTACTTGACTGCCGATCAACAAAGCTAGCAACAAATCTAGCATCGTCTAAAGAGCCAAAACTTACAATTTCTTATTTGAAAAGCCCTGTGATTTCTCAAAAATGGCAAATGGTCATAAATTTAATATTTTCTTCTTTTTTCAAACCTCAAAATATATTTTATTCTTCAACATTTGAATTTTAAGCTAACACATTGATTTTGTGACATAAATTAAAATTGCATGCCACTTTTAAGTGATGTTAGTACAAACACATAAAGGATAGACACTAATTGACTGTATCAGAGCAACCATTTTTAAAACACATTTGATCTAGTAAATCATTGACTTTCAATGTATCTTATCATATGGATTAAAGCACATATAAACAAACTTCACTGACTACCTATTTTCAACTTCCAATCGAATTTAACCATCAAATTTCAAAATCCAGGGCCTCCCTGGTGACACAAGGAGTTAAGACGCAACCTATGAAGCTGGATCGACAGCCACTGCAGCAGGAGTTCAATCCCCACCCAGGAAGCTAACCCACACGGCAGCAAACCTCTCCTGACTCACCTGCTGTTCCCCTCATCAGTGTATTTCAGTACATCTGCCTGTTCTGCTCACCACTCTGTCTCTCGTGAATCCTCTCAACCCCTGCCTCTCTGGCCTGTACCCCAGTTCTTATATGCATAAATAAATCTTTAAATAAAAAAATTCAGAATCCAAAAAATAAATAAATAAATAAATAAATAAAATACAGATCTCACCTATCAACTTGGAAGAGGTTTCTTTTTTTTTTTAAGATTTATTTATTTATGCATACTAGAACTGGGGTACAGGACAGAGTTGTGGGGGATGAGAGGATTCACCAGAGACAGAGTGGGGAGCAGAATAGGCAGATCTACTGAAATACACTGCTGAAGGGAGCAGCAGGCCAGACAGGAGAGGTCTACTGTACCATGTGGGTCAGCTCCCTGGCCAGGGATCGAACTCACTCTGCAGTGTCTGTAGATTGCTTCACAGTGCTGACACTTAACCCCTTGCACCACCAGAGAGGCCCCCTCAACTTGGAAGAGTTTAAAAAAATAAAAATAAAGTTGTTGAGATGAATATGAATAGATATCCTTAGGTCTCACCAGTGTAAGAGAGCTTTGGAA